TACTGATGAAGGATCATATAAGTAGTTACGGATTATTCGACAACTTAGTCCGAGAATATTGAGAAAAAAAAGAACAAGCATTTTCTGCGCATCGTGCTCTATTCATTAACTACTTGGTTATATCCGATTCTGATGTACGTTTTACCACTAACTCATGTCAAACATGGAAAAATGAAAAAGAAAATGATTTAAAGCTGAAGTTCTAATAGAATATTGGAAAAAAATAACTTGAGGTTAAAGTTTTACAAAGCAATTGATAGAACAGTTATCGAACATTTTTTATAGATCGATTTGATCGTCCATTGTAAGGAATCTTTATGGATACCAATGAAGGTTTTGATGTAAGTCAACAAACAGAAGGGGTATTTTTATTATTCAAACACACATATACATGCACAATTTCAACCAAATCGGCCTTGGCTTGAATAGAAAAATATGACCTATCAGAGGATCGATTTTGGAGGGAGGTACGATAATAAGGACAAACAACACAAAAAATAAGAGAAAATATTGGCAAGATTTGAATAAATACTAGCATGCTAATAATATTATATTCTAGAATGTGCAAAAACTATGGATGTTATTTCTTCATGTTCCTGATTTTGTCGAGCCAAGACTTCTTGTCCGGTTTAGGAAGTCGACTGGTAGGAGGGCAAGGCGGAGGACTACAGTTGGGTCTTGGTGGATCCAAAATGTCCATAACAGGATGGCGTTCTTGTGGTCGACAATCCATTCGAGGAGATTCGAGGGTTTTCTGGAAATTTTCACAGCTTTTCCAATGAGCGATTACTTTGGAAAAGTACTTACCACTTTTCTCTGCGCCAACTGCGATGGCGGTCTGATTCGAGTCAGATGAACAGGTTGGGATCGTTGGATCTTTGAAGTTCGTCTTTCCGCCTCTCCTACAGATGCTCGGACGTCTTCTTTCCTTCGTTCGTCAATCTGCTTCCGTACATCTTCAGAATAAGTTGGTCGATCGTGATTATCCATACTGTAGCCTCTTTCGAGTCTACGTAATCTTTCGACGCGCTGCATGTCCGGAAGTTGGTCGTATGCTGGAAAAAATATTG